TCTCAGACCTCGGTCAGCGGGCCCGGGGGCGTCACAGAGGCAGGAATGTGTCGGAGGAGAGTCTCACTTCCCTCGCGTCGTCCACCCGTGGCTGTAGTTGGGATGCTGGCCGAGGAGAGGCCTGAGCCCAGGAATCGGTCTGTCAGGGTGCAGTTCAGATGGCGCGGGCTCCACCATGACCTGGTGGCCGTGAAGTTTGCTCCCTCGGGGGACCGTGGGCTCGTCTGCGTGGAGCTGGCCAGGCGGCTCACAGCTTTGCTTTTCACACTGGTTACATAGCATCGCTCAGTATTGTTTCCCGTCTCCCACGCCCGATCTCTGGCTCCTTGGAGCTGACTGTTGTCGGGGCACTTGCCTCTCCCGGAGAACACAGCGAGGGCCTTCCTTCCTAACTGCAGGGTCTCTACCACACCTCAGTGTCCACACTTGCTGCTACTGTTCGTACTGTGTCCGGTAGAATCTCCTGGTAGCGCATTACAGGCAAGCATGAAATGTAAAGTATTTATTTAAATAAAAAAAGAAAAAAACCTCTAAATTGGTAATCGAATTACCTCCCTGTAGCTTTATAGTTTGTGACATTTCCTGACCTTGCTAGTTCTTTCATTAGATCCGCGCAAGATCTAGTCACCTGGTTAAGGATTTTAAGCAGACGCAACTACGAACCCAAGAAACTGTATTACTATTACTGTTGGTCATACTAAAACTGTTTCTTTCCTTAAGTACATGACCCACGAGGATGTGAAATTAACTACAAGAAACTGTTTTGTACACTGTACATCCTTAGTATTTTTACACGTATCTGATAGGGGTGCCCATTACTTTCCTTCGTACAGACAGCTTAAATAAAGCACTGTGTCAATCTGCTACTTCTCCGTTTATTGTTGTTGGACGTGGTTCTGTACTCTCAGAAAACTCAAAAAAAAGATTTTTTAATAGCTCCACCTGGTATTAACCTACCCTGTGTAAAAATGTGACAGGAAAATATGTAAATTTCTTGTAGCTCAGAACACACGTGGGATTATTTTATTGTTTTAATAAAATGGCAATAGTGCAGTTGTACAAACTTTGATGAAGGGCTATGTCCAAAGGGGAGACGCCGAGCTCCCGGCACTGGGCTTAGGACAGACCTACTGTGAAGCCGGGGATGGGCGAGGTGGCCCTGGAGGTGTGTAAGAGCCCGGTCATGTCCAGGCCAGAGGGCTTGGACCCAGATCCGTGAGGCTCGTAGCTCTTCAGTGATGTCTTCCTGGTGACGCGCGGCTCTGCACGCTTCCTGAGAATCTGTGCTTAGAGCTCGATGGCAAGTTAAACTTGGACGTGGGCCGTGGGTGGGTCGGGAGGCCGACTGCAGCCTGATCTACCCGGAGTCACTTTGGGTGGGGCCTTTCGCTGATTTACCTCATAAACCTCTTGTAGAACCTTGGCTCTGCTCCCGTGACTCAGCCAGATGGAGGAACGGCTTTGGGACCAAAGTTAGTCACGCATGTATCTGTATGTCACACGCCAAATTCGAGGGCATCCCTACGGATGCTCCCCTCTCAGAACCACTGGGGTTGACAGTCCAGGAGCGTAAATCAAGTGACCTCTATAATTCTTTAAAGGTGCTATTTTTAGACTATTGTATAATTTATTTACTGTATTCCTAAGCCAGAGGTAGGGGCGATTAACATACCCGATGTAACAGCCTTTATGTCGAGCACATCTGATGAAATAAACACTTCTGGCTCCGAACAGAAGTCCTGCTCTTGCAGGCTTGAAGCTTTCCACGCCCGAGACACTCGAGCGGTCCTCGCGTGGGCATCATCCCGCCGCATCCCAAGCCCAGCTGCACGGACTGCGAGGCCGTGACAGTGATGACGGTGGCAGGTCGCTGGCCGGGGAGGTCAGCCTGAGGCCAGGGCCTTGTCCCAGCGGCAGCCCTGCCTGTAGCGTCCGTGGTGATCCTCGGAGACAACACAACATTTCAGTGCCCGTTCTTATTACTTTAAAGCATTTGAGGGCTTAACTGTGTATAGTTGAAATACCATCTGAAACTGAAATAATGATCTGTGTGCAGAGACTGGAGACAACTAAGGAATGTTGTACGTTTCTAGGCTCCTCTCAAATTCTGCATCTCGAAGAAGGACCCTGACGCCGCCCAGCCAGAGAGGCCTGTCTGTTGGGAGCAGAGTGGAGAGGAGGGTGCTTGGTGCTCCTGGTGTCTCCCGTTGTGCAAACATGAGCAGGGTGACAGTTAGCGGGGTCTTGCGGGCTGCTGCAGGAAGGCAGAGGTGAAGGATGCTGTGGAGATCGCGCGGAGGCAGAGAATCAGCAGGGAGAAAGTGGTCCTCAGTGCCCGTTGGCCTAGTTAAAAACATGTGCCTTTTTGGTGTGTTTGGTTCATCACTACGAGGTAGAAAGTAAACATTACAGTTCAAGTCTTGCAAAAAAGTTCGTTTATTGCAATTCATGTGTGTACCATAGCATACAAATGAGCAGACTCAAAAATACAGCAACTTCAAGCCATTTCCGAAAACCTGCACCGGGAGGTCTCATCTCTGGCCGACTTCAGCTCCCGCCCGCCCATCGCGCAGGGACCGCTGAGACCCACGTGTGGCTACGACGACGCAGCCCTGCGGTCTGAGGCCGTGGTGCATTGTGGCATATGACGTACAAATCAGATGAATGTAAATAACTCTTTGTAAATCACTTACTTATTTCAGTCTGTTTCATCCAGGTCAGCAATCAGATTGTGGCATGCTGGGTAACTGGAAAAATAAAAGATAATAAAGTAAGTTTAAATAGATTATGGCCTTCAATGTGATTTATCTTCTCGCCGGTTAACTCCTCTAAGTTTTTGGAGAAAAAAATTTCGTTTGCTGAAAATATAGTTTGTCATAAGCTCTGTGAAAAGTCTATTTCTCACCTTTACCACAGGTCAAAGCCCTTGTCGAATAAGAATATAAGGTGTTTTTTTTCATTTTTATTGATTTTAGAGAGAGGAAGGGGGGGACAGAAACATCAGTTTGTTGTTCCACTTACTGATGCATCATTGGCTGATTCTTGCATGTGCCCTGACTGGGGATCGAACCCGCAACCTTGGCCTATCAGGACGATGCTCTAACCAACTGAGCTACCTGGCCAGGGCCTATTTTTTAATGCTTTAAATATGAAAACCACCTGTATTCCAGACGTTTCTCTCTTAAGAGCAGTTCTGATGATAGGCTGTGGCCAGAGCACCCAGGAAAGGAGATGCTGATTCGTGCCAGAATCCAGTTACTGAGAACTGCTCAGACTTTACAGTGAGTAAACCCAGGATGCAGGACAAGTGTCCCTAAGAAATCTCGGGGGAAATGACAGTTTAGCTGCAGACAACTTACTGTAACGTATGGAAAGGCATTTTCACCTGGAAACCACCTCCCATGTGCTGGGAGAGGGAATTTCGTGCCCGAGGGTCTCTTAGTTTTAATCAGGTGTAAATGTTTCCAAACTGGCTCATGAAGGTTGGGTTGGGGAGTCACAGGTCAGAGACTGAATCCTGCTGCCTGCCTGGCTGATAGGATGCCCACATTAGTTCAAACCACTAAGGTGGTGTCAGAAACCACGGGAAACTGTAACATTCCATAAAGCGTTTCTCCGGCATGTGGGAAGCTGGGTAAGACACAGGCCTTGCTCTCTGGAGCGTCAAGTCCCTGAGATGATGGGGGCTGGACGGAGAGCTCAGAAGATATCCTGTCAATCCCAGTTTTTACTCCTGCAGATAAATCAGGACACGACATAGAGCCCTGGGCCGGCCCAGTCTCTGTCTAGCAGGGAGTCATCGAGAGATGAGGGGCCTCTGCATCTCCCAGTGCAGGTTTCCTGAGTCAGAATCAGAAGGGGAGGGCACTTGTAAACGCAATTTAAGCCCTGATTACTTGTTGAGGATTTCCAAGCCAGGGCAATGCATTTCATGCAAGCCAGGATTCATGCGAGAGAGAGCCATGGAAATCAGTCTGCTGACTTCAAAAATGAGAAAAGATAATGCTTACATTTCATAGGGGTTGCCCAGTGTGTGGGGGGCACTGATCAGGAGTCTGAGTAGAATGGTTTCCACACAGGGCAATTATGATAATACACATGCAGCCCTGTGAGGGCTGAGGGTGGGCCCAGAGGTGGGTGGACCCTCTTCCTTGGAGCCCACAGGGGGCTTCTGTTCTCTGGCCCTCCCTAACTGGGCCGCAGGGAGTCCCCAGTGCCCTGCCATGGCAGAAAGGGTCCCCTTCTGTCCTAGGTGTAATACTCAGCACAGAGGCTGCCAGGAGCTTGATGTGTGACCCTCAAAGCACAGGGTCTCCATCTAGAGCCACTCTGCCTTCCGGCCTTGATTGGCCTGGCCCGGTGCGGTTCTGGGAACTAGTCTTGAATGACTCCCCTCCACACTCTGAAGGCTGCCTGCTCACCAGGGTGCTCTGGAGACAGTGGTTTCCTGTCTAATTTGAAAGACAAGGATGTCTTGGAAAGGATGCCCATAAACCACAACAGGCACATTTCAAATGAAAATTCTAACGCACCCATAACATGCAGTTCAGGATAGTGGTCAAGACCTAAAAGCAAAGTAGAACTGATGGCAGGGTTTTCCTTTAAACCAAGGTCCAGGAAATGATTTCTCACAGCGAGTCCTGGCATGGGCTCCAGGGCCATCCAGTAATTCACCATCCACTGATCCCGTTCCCTGCTGGCACATGGTACGGAGACGGCTCCGCTGGAGCCAGGGACCGCCCCCCCCAGCTCCTGTGGGCCCAAGCAGGAGTCACTCCAATCCCTCCCTCCCCGACTTGTAGCAAGTCAGCTATCACTTCAAGACTGTTTTCTTTGGTGTAAAGCCCTGCACTCACCCTCACTGTATATTACAGTACTCATTGTCCAGTGCTCGTCCCCAGTGCCTACAAGTGCCCGGCCCATGGTGAGTTTAGTGAACACTTGACTGAATGAATGACCCTGTCACCCCTTGTTTTGTCTGCTGAATGCATCACTCGTGTTGCCCTCAGTCTGCTGAATCTTTAGAACATTTCTCAGTGCTCCCCCATCCTGCAGCGGCCACATAGAGAAGCCTCAGTTACTGCCCAACTCCGGCTTCCCTGCCATCACCTCCTGGGGACATTAGTCACGCTTATTTCCAGAAAGTTGTTCCTCCGTCCGCTCCACAGCGATCCGTCTGGCTGTGCAGGAGCCAAGGACGCAGGTGCCAGTGCGACCTCAGTCATTTCAACTGTGGCCTCAGTCCTGAGCCACCATCCCCCCTTCCTCCTGCCTCTCAACCTGTCACCAAGGCCCCTGGCTGTGGCCTCCTGGGTGGTGAGGCCACATCTGCAGTTGTCACTGGCTGCCCTCCAGGTTAGAGGGGGGCCCACAGGGCACCCTGGCAGCGGCTCTTCCAAAATATTGTCCACAGATGTCACCAATGGTCCCATCGGCGAGCCCGCTGTTGCTGTGCATTTTCTTAATCCTATCAGAGCCTTCTCTCCACAAGCCCTGCCTTTTGTATCCAAAGTATTTCTGAAGTTTGACTTTAAATCCACAGTTTAAGAAATGAGTCTCTCTGGATGACCTCAGTTGTTCCCCAAGTGACCTCACTGCGGGGTACTAGTCACCCCAGCCTCTCAGCAGCCCCTGCAGATGGAATCCCGTTTCCTGCTCCCCACCTTGCTCATCGGTCTCTGTGTGGCCAGGTCAAACATGGTCCTGCCCTTGCGCCTCTGGCAAGAAAGCATCTATTTATGACCGGAGGGCCGATCCCTCCCCCAACCTCCATCGAGGGCATTTCAAAGCTTGCCCAGGGTTGACCGAGCTGGGGAAAGCTCCAGCCCCACCCTCACTGTGGTTTACCCTACAGTCCCAGGGCCCAGCCAGGCCTAGCTCCCTGCGCTGCGGGGCGCAGAGAAGCCGCCTTACCGTGGGGTGGACACCCGTCCCCTCCCATCCAGCCTTGCTGGGCCCAGGGAATGAACACCAGTCTCTCTAGAGAGTTGTTTCCTGCCCATTGATGTCTCAGTTCTGTTCACCTCGCCTCTTTGGGACTTATTTTTCTATCTGTACAAAAGAGATGTTAAACGACTTATCCACACAGAGATCGCAGTGCCAAGGCTGCGGGCTTGCAGCATCTCTGCCAGGCGCGGGGTAATGCAGGGGTTCCCTTGTAAAAGAAGCTGGTTCTGTTGTTCTTTAAAACCAGAAAGTTTTTTAAACCAGAAGCTAAAAGATTGATCCGAGTGGTGCAGAGCTGAGATTTGGACCTACGCTGCTGTACTTCAGAGTCCAGGCTCGTTAATGCTGTAGCGACCAGCTATGGCATTAGCTGTCTCTTGCACATCGATGTTTCTCTCCCTGCCTCCCTCCCTTCCACTTCCACTCTATCTAAAAGCAATGGGAAAATATCCTTGAGTGAGGATTTTAAAAAATAAACCAACGCGCTGAGGGAACCCGGGGCAGCACCGATCTGCTCAGGGGAGGTGCCCTCCCAGCCCTCTGCACAGCTTTGTGGAAAGGTGGCTCCAGATGTGAGCGCTGACCTATGACAGCAGTGGCTCCCCACCCAGCACAGGGCCCAGGGCAGAGACTCCGGGTCAATGGAGTCCTGCTCCCACCCCCACTCCCCAGGCATGTGACCAAGAAACTCTGGCTGGGCCCCTCACCCCCTCTGGCTGGGCACAGCCTTTCTGGGAATCTGGCTGTTGCCAGCTGCAGAGCGGGGCAGGAGTTCACAGCAAGGTCACCGAGGCCCCAGCTCATCCCGCCCCCTCCCCCAGCTGCCACTGGGCAGTGACAATGAAGGGCCCTGGCTGCGCTGCTCTGGGCTCCAGGAGGGGAAAAGAACTGTGGAAGCCAGTGACCCAAGAGGGGACAGGCAGTAAAGCCTTCCTTGCAGAGAAGGTGGGAGCCGACTCCTTGGCTTTCTGGGAAACAGCATCTTGGGACAGGACTTAGGGCTGGAGCGTGGGGGGAGGCAGGGGACCTGTACCCAGAAGGGAGGGGTCAGTCAGAGGACACGCAGCCCCGGGGCCTGGCATCTGCTTTGCTCTCTCCCCTCTCCTCAGAGCTCACTCAAACCCGGGGTTCCCCCTGCGACTCGCGGGGTCCAGGTCTGGTCTTTCAGCTCCACGGATTCCCCGAAGTCACGAGACACCCTCTGCACACGCGCAGGTGTCTGTGTTTTACATGAACCACGTTTCCATGGTAAATAGAGTTGAAGAATTCCCAAAGGACAGACAGTGTCGCCAACAGCAGAGAGCGGCGCCTCTGGCTGCCTCGCATGGGAAAGCGTTAAGAATGAAGACAACATTGACATTTGGGGTTGCAATGTGACGGAATTACAGTCTTTTAAAGGCAAGAACCGCTTATCTATCTCCACTGCATGCAATATTCAGTGTTTTGTTCACTTGTCTAATTGGATTAAAATATTTAGCTCCCTTTAAAATCTTGATTGTGAATATATATTGCAGAATGCAGTGTCTGACTCGGAAGCAATAAGTGGAGCAAATGTATCCGAAGCGATAGAAATTTCAATTTCTTTTTCTTCCACGAGTCTTATTGGAGATTATTCTCTTGGACAAAGTGAACTGTTAACAAGAGAGCAAGTTTGGCTTAAATGAAGCTTCTCAATAATAATTATATACAGGGCCTTCAGTTAAAAAAAAACACACACAAAAAAACAAAGTTAGACCATGCTATTTGAGTTGCTGGGGGAAGTTTCTCCGGGGTCCTGAGACCCTTATGTTAGGAACACAGT